ATTTTCTGTAATACAACCACAGGAGTAAGATGTTGAGCATGGAAATGGCAGCCTCCCTGGAGCTGGTGCTCTTCCAGGACACTACATTCCACATTTGTTTATTGATGGGTATAATAGAAAAGCCCCTTTCTAAATGCCAAATAAGTCTAATCACTTTCACTGATACCCAGAATTCCTTTGCAGATTTTTGGGACTCCTGCCTAAATCTCGATGTCTAATCCTCAAACATAAGATGAATGATACCATGTTATATCTGTATGTAGCTTTTTGGTAAAGGTTTTAACTTTTCTTTTTATGATTTGCAGCCAAGATGTCCACAAAGCAGAACACATCTATCCGTACGACTGTGAACGAAAAGAGGAGTTTATCAGGAAGGGACAATGTAAGTAACATTTTACTGTGACTTTTCTTTAATATGGGAGTGGTTAATTAATGGGAGGGTTATTATTTAGCCTTTTTCTTAGTATGTTTTATTACTTTAGCTGTCATTTCATCATCAGGCTTATAGAATCATTATCATTTTATTTTTTTCAACATTTTGTATATCATGTTCATACATGTCCCTCGCATGAAAAATGTAAACTGAAAAAAAAAATAAGTGTAAAACTTAGAGGCTACTATATATATATGAACAAAATGAGACCAGTCCTATCTTTATTATTAGCTTCGTATCAGTTATTAAAAACAAAATCTTTATGTACATTTGGAAGGTCATCTGTGTTTCATTTCTGCTGTTTTTCTTTGAAAATACATCTAGCCTATATTTGATACAGCTGTATGATGTGGCTAAAATATTCAATTTCTATTTCCCCTAGTAAACTGTGTAGTGAAACCATATATTATGTTTTTTGTGTATTGAAAATATATATTAGCCTTGTGTAGAGAACAGCTAAATAGATATGTACAGACATTAGACAAACAAGGCAAGAGTTGGCTTCAGTATTATTAACCCCTTGCTGCCGGGTGTCATGTATGTACATGCCATGGCTGTTGTGGACAAAGTAGTGGATGGCATTTTATCACGACCATTCCCGTGTCATTGGCTCATTGGACGGAGGTTGTTTTTCTCCAATAATTGCAGCTTCATTTATGTGGTAAAGCTTATAGGCAATAGTACCTAAAGTGAAGGTAAACCTTCAAATTTATAAAATTAAAAAAAAATATGGCAAAATAAACTGGTTGCAAACGGGAAACTGCTGATGTGTACCAACAGTCCCGTGATCATGTCCACTTACCAAACTTTTTTACCAGGGGTGAATGCGTTAAACCATGGTTTTTACGTTACAGTATTGAATTTGGTGTTGAAGCCATCTGTTGTTTGATGTAAAGGCAGAAAATTTAATTGAGTGACAAAATATGTATCATGTTCAACAGTAGAAACAGTCCTTTTTAATCCTGAGTCATGTATTTCCAACTGGCTGGTTACATCTGAGGTACTTTGACACATAAAAGATAATTACCTTTGTAAAATACAGTCTTGGCTTTGACTTAGCTTCATGATTTTTTTTTTTTTTTTTTTTTTTTTATATTATTATTTTTTTGTTTGTTACTTGAATTCCCTCGGCTTTAGCTTTACAGCCAAAAGCAAAGGTTACACTAATCATCTCTGTCCAGGGATCCCTGGATATCCACGCTGAGCGTCTATCAAGTACAAGGCAGGATTGTCACAGTATGACCAGTGTGAAACATCATCCCTGAGTGTACAATAATCTGGATGAACTGAGCATCAAAGCTAGTTATGGATTCAATGAATTTCATTGCCTATTGATTTTAGAAATACAAGAAAGAAGACACAGAACTTAGAAAAGATACTCTGATACCCAGTGTTCCAACAGAAATAGAAAATCTGACAATATTTTTTCTAGTTGCATATACTGCTTTAAGTGGAGTCAGTAATGTATAAGAAATGTAATTGTTGACTGATGAAAACCAAAGTGGGTAGAAAGGAAATACTATAACTGAAATTGAGTAAGATGTTGTTAATTGTCGATTGTGATACAGCCTTACCTTATGAATCTTGTTGATTTATCCACCCATTACATTACCCCCGTACCCCCATCCCTCTTGCAGGCCTTCCTCTCCTTGAGCTAATCAGTCATGCTTTCTTGCCTCTTTCATCCTGTGATTAGAAGTAAGGATTCTGGTCATGTTTTTTTCTTCTCCCTTAACTTATCATATTATTTCACATCATGAGTTGCCACCTGGTGTATTGGTAGTGTTTTTCTTTTCATACATGTAGATGTGTCTGAATAGAATGTGGTTTTTATAGGATAGAATTATGATTTTATATGCTTTTTTTTTATTTACATATTCAATGTAAGTTATCCATTTTCATTCATATATTATGGGTAGTTGTGATAAATTTTCTATTGTTATCATGTGTATTAGATAATAAATGATAGTGATATACATTTTCTAGTGCAAAAAATTAGGGCACTGCCCCTGGAGAAGTAGGGGGCACAGGGGTCAAATGGAGTTAGTGGTCTTATCATGGTGTTATGTGTGAGGAAACAAGTTTGTGGTCATTAGACCCTGTCTTAATTATTGCATGGTGTTATGGGCATAAGCATCAGAGGATATGAATTTTAGACATTTAGGTTAACCATTTGGTTCCAGGAGACGACATCTTGTCATGAAAGATTTTGTCTAAGGGGCAGCTAAGGGGTCCATTTCATCATGGAAACAAATTTGACTGAGGGATGGGTGACAGAAATGACTTATCATGGGAAAGTGTTGCGGAGTGATGGTGACGGGGATGTCTTCTCATGAATGTTTAAAGCACTTTGAGTGGGACTGACAAAGATGATATGAGGTCTGAGCAATGAAAATGGCCTATCATCATTTTTGTACAACAAAACAAATACAAACCTCAAAAAAAGGCAAAAAACAAAAGTGATCCTGAAAGATAGAAGGGCCTACAAGCTACAAATCCAGGAGAATTGCCACTCAAAGAAGCCAAATGCCCCCATTTTGGTCCATATATATCTCACGAGGCACCCAGATTCAGTGGCTGCATTTGTCTTTTCTATCATTGGAGAAAATAGGGCCTCAAAGTATTTTGGGGTTTAGTATACTGATTTTGAATTTCCCGAGAGGGGGAGGACCCTTGCCAAATCCTTTTTTTTTCCCCCTAATGGTTTTATAAATTGACCTTGAAAGTTTTTTCATAGTTCATTTTTCACTCATTATTATGTTCATATTCGAACTTCTATAAAGGAAAGAGACCCTTTCTGTTACTAGTTGTTGCAGTTAGATTGAGTCATTAGCATCACAAAACACATTATTTATGTAACTGAATATCCATATAACAAGGTTATCATTGGCTACAACGATCTTTTTCTTCTCATGCCTGAGTGGTTCCTCTACTTCCCTTGCCTCTAGCCTTCCCAATACTTAACACTCCCCCCCCCCACCTAGCTCAGCCACTCTGCATTCTTGCAACTAGCTCCATCCCTATAGTGACTATCTAAACCAATCCAAAATAAAACACGTTTGTAAATGCAAGAAAAAAGAAATACAGTTACATCCAATTAACCCATTGTCTGGGTACCTTGCCGCCTGAATATGGCCCAAATCCAGGTGTTAGGCTAACTTAAGTGGACACTCTCCACATGTATGGCTTGTAGGCCAAGCCCACATGAGCCTTTGCAATGTTATCTTTTTTATTGGCACAAATGTTCTTAGAGCTTTTTTGACATTTTCCAAGGTCTATAAATTTGCTATTTAATCTGCTGTAAGATGGTAATCTATTGCTTTCCTTGCACAGACTCCATATCATCTGTGTAGGTAGTGTACAATATCTAAAGCAGTAAATAACATTGTTATAAAATTTAGAATATACTTGACCCTCAGCTAACTTTTTTCATCACAGGACAGACATGTCATCCAGATCCAATGGGTTAAATTTCATTAATAAAGTGTTTTCATTATAGATTTATTGACAGATATTTAATATTTTTTCTGTGAAAAATAAGATTTGCTCAATAAGACTTCAAGAAAGCACAATGTATAAAAGACAAAAAATAATTCAATTAATTTTGAATTTTGGAACTCTTGTAAATTTCAGTGTTTTGCTCGTATGTCAGTAAAAGCAAATGCTCCTTTTGTGATGATCATTACATGGGCAGCAACAGTTCATACTTATAAACTGGTTATACAATAAAAGTCATAAGAGAAACAATAGAGGCCTCACAATTCATGTGATTATGATGATGATTTAAAAGATAACCATTTTCATTGTCAGGTATTGGTAAATCATTATAGATTATTAAAAAGTAAAATTAATAGAACATTATAGTCCACACAATTCCTTTAATGATGATTATATTTTTGAAAGATAACAATTTTCATTGCCAGGTATTAGTAAATCATGATAGATTTATTAAAAAAAATGAAATGAAATTGTAATGCAGAATACTAGAAACCCCACCTCTGATTGGGTTAGTTATGAAAATGAAATATCTTGAATGCATTTTTTTGGATATTCCGGGTTGAAAGTCTTGATAAGTCTGAGAGAAATTTAGCTTTGAATCCAGGTGAAGTGCATCCAAAATTATATGAAGACACTAGATACACCAATAATAAGACACTAAAAATTCTTGATGTAAGCTTTTAAGTAATAAGCAGTTGAAATTTTGGAAATCTTTGTCAGATATGTGTAAGTTTTATGGTTTATTATAACAATTGTGCTTATTTCAACACATCATATATTATTTAAATGACTAATATGTTGAGGATGGTTAAGAAGATTATAAAAAAATATTAATAGTATTTAAACAATGTCAACAAGATTGTGGTATTCCAGAAAAGTAACTTTACTCATTTTTGTGTAATATGTTATGGGGCAAATTTTATCCAGCTAGTGTCCTTGTTAGACAGATGTATCTTATATATATATTTACTTGTTAAAGACAGACCTGTATGTTAATATAAAATTTGAGAATTAAGCAGTCATATTTGCATTGATTTGAAGTAATTAAATTATCATAAAGGTGTATTGCATGCAGGTATAGAAACTTAGATATGTTTCATGAAAATGCACAAATATATGAATAACATTGCCTCTATTATGGGCATTGCTGACTGGCAATGAGTGGAGTAGGAGAGACATCAGGGTAAGTGGCATTCTTGGCATATATGATGCATTGGCCTACTAGCCTGATTGTAGTGCATCACTTTTTAAATGTTATATACACCAGATTGGGGAGATGTGACTTGGAGGTTAAAAAAAATTGTATGTCTCTTTCTTTTAATTATTTTCCCATTAATGTAGGATACAGAATTTCTTCTGATATCAGGCATTAAGCTTTGAAATTGGATTTTTTTGTTGCAGACATTAAAAGAACCAAAGCCATGGTGATGTGGATCTCCTTGCGAAGTTTGAAAGTGACGTTGTTACTGCAGAGAAACTTACAGGTGGAGATATGAATATTCTCCAGACCATGGGTGAAGTTGCTGGTAAGCGCAGAATAGACTATAGTGATCTGGGTTTTGGGCCACCAAAACCTAAGAAGAAGAAAGAAGATATGATCAAGAGGGGATCAGATATTGGCCAGGCTGTTGTATATAAAAAGGTTGGGATAAGAAGTGCAGGTAATAAGCTTCAGAGGGTTGTCATAGAACACAAGGTTAGAATTCTGGAACAACCACGAAAGGAAAATATGACCCAAGACATGCGGGAGGCATCAAACTGGTACAAATGCTACAGCTGTGGGTATACATGTTCCAGACTTAATGTAATAATTTGGCACAACAAAGCACACATTAACAAAGTAATGTAATTATGAACAGGTATAAAAGTCCCAGGTAGAAGGAAGCGCAAACAAGGAACCCCAAGGACAAGTAAAGAGATGCGAAAGAAAGCCAAAGATGCAAAAGGCAAAGAAAACTTGGAACATGCCCATACTAATGGGGAAGTATCTAGTCCAAAGAAAGATTCCCAAGACACTCAACAACTTCTTAAGGACTGGGATGATGAAGATGATGATGGAGAAGGGGACAGGGTAAAGGCACCAGGTGGACCAGGGAAAAGTCGCAATGATTCTGATGATGGTTACAGCGACAATGATGATTATCCTCCACCACAACCCAAATACGAGAGACGACCAATGCCCAAGGCAGCAGATATTAATTCTGCTTTTGATGCTTTATTAGCTGCCACACCCATGACTCCATCTTCGAATCAAACCACAAATTATGTTAACAATGATAGTGATAGTGATTACAGTGACTGGGAGAAAACTATGCTAGGAGATTCTGGATCAGAATCTGAAGAGGAAGAGGTAGCTCAAGAAAGTGATATTAAAAGTTTATGTGAGGAGAAAGAGGGTGTTACTGGCAGAAATGCTGATGTTACATCAAAGGAGGAGAATAATGATGTGAGTGAATGTAAAACAGAAGAGGTAGAAGAAACTGGAGATGAGTACAAGCCAAATATTTCTACTGCTGTAACTGAAGAGGAGGAAACAAAGCAGGTAGATGTAGTGGATCATGGTAACAGTCAGATGGCTTTGACTCCAGAGCCAGAAGAGCCAGTGAAAACAGAGGAACCAGAAGAATCGAAACCAGACATAGCAGAGGAAAGACTAACTCCACCTCTTCATTATTTTAATCCTAATAGTGCTAAAGATGAACAAAAGGAAGTTGATGATGAACCAGATATGATTGAGGAGGCTTGCTCAGATAATATTCAAACTGAAGTTACTTCTGAGACATTAGAGGAGAGTAGAGAAGCATTAGATCCAGTTGAAGAGTCCAGAATGGAAATTGATCAGCCTTATGAAATGAGTGAGGATCAGAATGATAGTGAAAATGACTGTAAGTCCGCAGAAGTTGAAGATTATTATCATGATGATGCATCTGTTGAAGGTTCCAGCCACATAGCAGATAGAGTTGATGAAAAAGTGACTCAAAAGGTAGAGCCCAAGATAGTACAAAGAATTGGAATAGAGAAAGAGGAGAAAGAAAGCTTAGAGGGAGAAGGAAGTGATGTAGAAGATCACCCATCAGGCATTCATAGCTCTCAGACCAGGTTAGAATCTGGGTCAGAAAGCATTGCTGAGCCAATGAGAGTAAGTGACGTAACTACATCATCAGGCTCAGGTACAACTTATATGTTGGTTGCTGTAGATGCTCATGGAAACACAGTGCCAACTGTACCTACCCCTGCACTTAGTGAAGGAGGAAGTAACCTAGTCGCTGTAGAGGCTACTATGGAGGATGGCACTACGAGAACCCTCTATATTGATCCTTCACAATTAGGTCCTAATGTTGATCTGAACAATCTCATGCTTCATATAGACACCAGTGGACAAGAACATGTTATCATTCCTTCTTCATTCATCAGGATTCTGAAACGCAAGTCTTGACCATAGCATGTCAGAGGGTCAGGACAAAAATTATGCTGACCCACAGCCAAAAAATGATGCAGGAGCTGTTGAACTTGAACACTATGAGTTGCCCCAAGAAAAGGGTGAGACCTCGTGAGTAAAAGCTTAAGCTTTTACTTTAGATTGTTAAGGGATAAAAAAATATTTGTGCCTTTTTTTTAAGTATTGGAAGGAATCCTTCCATTTATTATTCTCTTTTTTATCCTTTTTTTTTTTCTTGTTCACACAATTTATGTCACGAGTCATTCTTTTCAGCACCAACACAAATCCAGTGGTTTTGTGCATATTTATATAGATGTTCTCTAGAATTTAGATTGTTTCTGTAAAAAAGTTTTAAATTTTAGCTCAAACTTGTATTTTTTCAGTGCTTGAATTACACTGGTACTGTAAGTATCTGCTCCCTTAATTACAATACTTTATGACCCTATTCCTATGCAATTCTTTTTCTTAAGCTTGATAGGTTCCTAAATAAGTTACATGAAGCAGCATGATAGGTTTCTAACTACTATGTCTTGTGGCTATATTCATAATGAAGTGGATAATTGGATTCTGTTCCTCAAGCTCTTGCATCATTTTATGTTCAAATTTGCTTCAGTGATCCATGTTGGGTTTAAAAGAAAGCATCACTGCCAGTAATGTAGTACATTTAGCACATGGTTCAAAACTTATTATAGCAATTATATAGTAAGGGACTGAGAAACATTGAATCAACATACTGTTCAGTCTTCATGTGATGGATTATTGGAAGTTTTAGAGTTTTATTGAATGGAACTATTGTGGTTGGTCTAGTACTCAGCAGTAGTGTGTATACACTTTTCCAAAGGAAAACAAAGGACTTTATGATTCCTCACAGGTGGATGACAGAGAATGAATGAATAAGAATTTGGATTTTTAAGGTTTTGACTTTTGATGTATACTTGGACATTGGGTAAAAAAACATATAAAGGGCTAGCAATTGATAATTGCAGATAAGCATTAATAATTTTCACTATTTTTATGGCAAAAGGATTTGGAGTTATTAGAATTTGATAGTTGTTGGTTCGATAAGTGCTTCGAGGGTTCTTATTTTTGTTTTACTTAATTTTGAACAAATGCAATATAATATTTAAAAGAATGCCTTGTAGATAAAGCAATGTCAACCTTCTGTAAGTGAATCATTGAGTTGATGATGCAGTACAAAAACAGTATAGTGGATTACAAATATTAAGATTTTATAAATTGTCAACCTTTGGTTTCATTGTAGGTTGGCCATTTACCCAAAAGCTTCTGGAATGCAAATACCATAGGGATATACTGCTGCAGTTGCATTATATGGGCCTGCAATTAAAAGCTTAGGTTATCTGTCCTTTAAGTGTGAGTTCATTATTTTAAACAGAGTGGGGCATGAATAAAGGGTTAAGGATTTGCAGGTCAAGATTGCTAAAGCGTAAAAAGATTCTCTTCCACCTCCTTATGAGACATGTCCTTCATTCTCTGTCTTCACTCGCAATGATTTGTTGGACTTGATCTGATTGCATTTTGGTCTTGTTCTTCCTGTTTGTGTGTTCATTTCATTCATGTATTTTTGTTTGTTATTTAAAACTGAAAAGGACATTTTAAAAGTTTAATGCACATGTATAGGACTAAATATATAGATGTGTCCAGTGTGATATATATTACTGTTATAAATACAATGCTTGTGTAATAATTTAAAAGTAAGCATGTGAATCATTTGGAAAATATTCCAAAATTGTGATCAGTGTAGATGGAAAGTAGGTCATTTTATATAATTATCTAAATCCATGAAAATAAACTATAGAAATTAATGATATTGGAAGACTTCTGCAAAGGCTACTGTGATACAAATACACCCACACTATATCATGGTGCATGTATTTTTGACACTTCTTTAAAAAAGAAAATCATAACCAACTTATATTCTATTACTGTAAAGATTATCGGAAGTGATGAAAAACAAAGAATGTTAGCCTACTAATTTGTTAAGTATTTATTCAGGTGAAAATCTCCATTATGGTAAATTTGCTTTTACTCTCGATATTTTAAAAGCTTTTAAGAGTAATTTGTATGTTGTGTAAATTATGAATATAAGTACCTTTCAAATAGAAAAATATATGTACAGAAAACTAATTTTTTTTAAACAGAGCACAGAATTTGTTATTAAAAGTCTTTTTTACTTAATTTAAAAACGGAAGATAACAGAACTTTAGGTACTATGTGAAATGAAGGAATTTTGCTAATACTGGTAAACAGGTATATTAAATCAAAGTGCAACGTTACTTGGTTAGAAAAGGCAGAGCTGATTACCATTTAGTTCAGTGATCCTTGCTTGCAGTTGTAGTAGAAAATCAGAAAGTGGAATTGTACATACCGTTTATACCCACATATATATATCAATGTATTTACACTTCTATATCTCATGGTTTAACAAATAATAGATGTCATTTAGTTATTTGAATGGTATTGTAGATTTTAAGAATTGTGGACACATCTCTGTAAGACCCAACATGGACAGCATACGTCTTTGTATCATGCATTTGCTCTTCTTAATTTGATCAACTCATTTCATGCTACAATGTATCCCAGCAATCGTTCTCTTCTTAACTGCTATTCAGAGATCATAATATGCTTTCATACACTTTCAGAATCTCTTGCTTGGTCTCTTTTGACCACGAGTCTTCGACCCCAAAAACACACGACACTTACTGTCTGACTTTCATGTACATCATATCAACCCAGTCTTAATGAACAGGTTACTGATAGAGTATTACAGTGCACTCTTACCCAGTGTGGCCATTCATCACATTTAAGGGTTTATGTTTTGTGGCAGTGAATTGCTTGTGTGACTTATGTACCATCCTCACCCTGTCCAAAAGTTTATATTTAGATTATACATATTTTTCTAGGCTTTGGTGTATTCTGTATATATTACCTGAGTGAATATTATCAATGTGATTTAGAAGAGAGTCTTTGTTTGTACAGTGTTCAGTAGCTGTGTTGATAGTATGCCCGTCAGTTTTGTAAAGGTATGTGAGAAGAAGTGGAAATTATGTGAAATCTGTTTTGAAAGGGTGAATTTTTGTCTCACTGTATTGATAATTTCAGAGAAATGTAGGGCATCTGAAGAGAGTTGTCCCAAGAATCCCAGCATTGGTGTGGAATTGTCATTAATGTCTGAGAAGCTGGTGGCCCCCTCAGGCTCCAGGAATCCATCATGTGTTACCAATGAGGATTATCTCTCAAGGTAATGCATTGACTGCTTCATTTTAATATGCAGGTAATCCTCTCACATCAGTGGGATTAATCAGCATTTATGTGATAATAACCATTCTTGGGGCAGCCATATATATATTTTTGTATTTGTGTTTCATAGTGAACGAGGCTAGGCAGAAGTGGAAAATGATTGAACTATATAAGTTTACGTGTAAATTATATTTTGCAAATCTGATTGAACTTTTCCTTTTTTTTTATTTATTTTTTTCTTAATGTAAATTCCTTTTACAATTTTTGCTCCAGTGTCACCATTTTTTTGGGACACGACAAATGAGAATTTTTGGTGTATCTCATTCATGTTAGTGCATTTTCGAGTGTCATCCTATGCCAGTTATGGATCTTGTGAGTAAGGGCCTCTAGTGAAGTGCCTGCTCTTTGCGAAATTATCTCGGCCTTGGGTGGAGTATTTGGATATTTGTATTTATGTATTTCGTTATGGATTTTAGTCATTAGAATAATGTTAATATCACTGTGATGGATATTTCATTATCATCATTATCATCATCATTATTATTGATTGTTGTTGTTTTTATTATTATTATTATTATTATTATTATTGTTATTTATTTTATAGTTATTATTGTTATTATCAATATTATTATTATTGTTTATATTGTTCTTGTTATTTTAGTTCATTATTATCGTTGCATCATTTTTATTATTGATTTTTAAATTATATATATTATCAATCATTGTATTATACTTGGTTATTATTTTTATTCTTATCATTATTATTATTATTTTTATCATCATTTTTATCATTATCATTATTATGATCATTATTGTTAACATTATTATTATATTATAATTATATTATTATTAATTTTTTGGTCATATTCTTCTTATTATTTTTTTTCATTTATTATTATTTTTTTTTTCATTATTACTATTCCTATTCCTATTGATGTGCTATTGCTGTTAATTGGATTATATTGATTATTTTCATTAAATTAATATTTATCATTATGATTATTAGTATTTATGTGACTATTTTTCATTTTGATTATGATAATGCTGTTGATATAATTAGTGTGTTTTATTATTTTCAGAAATATAATTACAGTTACTAGCATTGTTGCTACTCCTCCCCCTTCCCCCTCGCCCCCTCCCCCCTCCCCCCTCCCCCTCCCCCTCCCCCTCATCAGACATTTGACCATTGTTGGTTATTATTGTTTATAGAATTTTCATTTCTTAATTTCACTTTTTTCAATATCTTGATGATGATTATGGACATGACTTACAATTTCTATATTTGTAATACTAATTCTTTAAGTCTGCATAATGTATTCTTTATGCTTTTTTTATTATCTGAAGTTCACACCCACACTCACAACTGCTGTCACACCCACACTCATACAGTTACACCCACACTCACATCCACACACACTGTATATAATGTTATTTTATCTCATCTTCATCCTGTGTTTATGTCTAAATGTTTCTGAAAACAAGCAATCGGATAGACATTCTTATACTCCAGTGTGCATGATTTGTTGTGAAATGGCTTATCCAGCCGTATATTCAAGGAATACAAAGGTGACAATGGAAAGAATCCGATATTTAGTTATGCTGATCATGCCTTATATTAGCATATGACGTTATTCTTTAGTCTCCAGGGTGCCAGTCTCATGTGTAAAGTTTTTATGTCTGGGGGTTGTAAATGATTCATGGCAAATAAATACACAATTCTTTATTTCGACTTCTTTTACCCTGCTAATTTAAGAGTTTCTTTTTTGTGAAGGCTGTAGAATTCAAAGCTCCAGATGTAGTAAACTTAGAGAATGATTTTGATTACTGTAATTGGATTCAAGTTAATGAAGACTTATTTAGAGGATCTGCTGATAATGACCTCAAATTCTTGATAAAACTACACCAGTGAAATGAAAAGGGAGAAAATTAGGGAAAATGGCATAGTACTTTTTAGAAAAGAAATCATGATGTTACCCCTATTTGTAGTTACAAGAAGCCTAGTGCAAAAAATAAAACATGATTTTAAAGAATATATTTATAAAAAAGCAGCAAGTTAGAAAAAAAGCAAAGCTTATGGTTTTTCATATGCTGTAGGACTATGCTCGGTCACATTTGTATATGTAGAAGTGTACTCCAGATGATGCATTATTTCCATATAAAAGTTTCATGAATGATTTCAGTTTAGTCATTAATTGTTGACATAACCTTATGATTATCGAGTAAAATTCCTACTTGCTTGTTAACATAAATACACACCAGTGCTGCCTAGTGTAAAGGAAGCAAGTATATACTTGGCATATTGTGTATGTTTTGAATTGCTTACCATATCATTTCATAGATGTAATTATGATCTAACAACAAAATATTTAAAGTTAAGATAACGGTATGATAGGATTACAGTATTGTTTGTAAAGATAATGTGAATGTAAAGGTTCACTTAACATACCAGAATAACACACTGTAAAGGACCTATTGCACTAGCACTTTGCTCTTCAATTTTTTTTTTCTGTATGAAGTACCTGCATGCAAATGGACTGACCTTATCACACTACCAAGGCAGCAAACACTGCTTATGCAAGCAGACATGGCACCATCCAAGTTAGGTCACGTGAATCACAAGAACATTCTAATATCACATTATTTTAAAGAAATACAATTATGTATAATGTATATAAAAATGTTCTGGAATATAAAAAAAGCTAGTCATATAAATCCTTTGTTGCTCAAGATCAAGATGGAAATTGTCAGATGGAAGTGGCCTCCACCATCTTCATTTGGGAGGCATGTGATACATGCAGAAATCCTCAGATTCACGTAGAAATGCAAAAAATTATGGAATAGGCATAAGTGTGATACTGCTTTTAGCTATCAAAACTTTTTTGATTTTATGATTAGCATTGTCTTTTGATGTTTACAGTAAAGTTCACTGAAGTTTAAAAGAAGCCTCTGTGAGACAAATAATTTTTTATGCAACATATGACACAGATCGGTAAAATGCACAGAGCTTTAACACATACCTTGTTCTTCACTCGAATATGGGATTTTTCTTAGACCTAGAACAGTCAAAGAGAGCTTTGCTTTATAAGTATAATTTATATGATAGCACCCCTCTAAGTAATCTATAATTGATGAACTCGTTGATCTCGTTCCATCACGGAAATCATGGTGTCAAAAATATGGGCAGTTGCTTATGTAAGTAGAAAACATTGTGGGTGTCCGGGCATGTAGACTGGGCATGCACGAACACTCATGAGTGGTGACAAGAGTCTTTGCCTCCCCATTACAAAGTTATTTTGCGGAAACTTTTTTTTAGCTTTTTTGCTATTTTCCAATGTCCGTATATATCTTTTGATTTGCTTTATTCAGATGGTAATAGCTTATTTTCCTTGCACATACTTCATAACATATCTCTATGTACTAAATAGCTCAGTGCAAGAAAAAAAAAAAAAAAGGAACAATTAATTATTTGCATCATATATCTTATTATTTCGTAATTTTCAATTTTCCGTAATACAAACTGTGTCGCTGGTCACAGTGTGTAGCATGGTAATGGCATCCTCCCTGGAGCTGGCATTCTTCCAGTCACAGCTCATGCACATTACATTCCAAATTTGTTTATCGATGGGAATAATGCTGAAGCCCCCTTCTAAGTGCCAAATGAGCCAAATCACACTTCAAAAGGATTGTGCACTCATGGCAAGTCTTTTCCGTCACCTAAGCCTTCGCTCATGACAGCAAGTTCGTGTCACCCGGACTGTAGCCATTCTGTATGATGACAGCATGTTCAAGTCACCTGGCCCTTGGCCCAGTTTTTTCCATGACAGGACCGTGATGCTATCTGGATTATATTATAGGAGTTAATAACATCTTGTATAAGGCAAACCAAAGACCCTTGTGATATTTTTAGAAATGTATCTCTCAAATAAATATTACTAGATGGGAGCAGTAGCATCTGGGAAATAAATGAAAAAATTCTGTATTTAGATTTTTCTCTACAGATGGTTTTCAAGATATTTTGTTTTAAGTTTTTGCTATCTTTCCAGAACTCTGCTTATTGCAGTGTACTCAACAGTAAAAATTTTATTTGATAATTCCATATTGGGCACTGCACTGTCAACTAGGTTAAATATGCTGATATGCCACTTAGCATTAGATTTTCTCTCTAAAATTTATCACTGCATCATCCAATACAATATAGCAGGCGATTGAGAAAGTAAGGTAGCGGTCTAGTTTGTATATTTGATATGAATAATAGAAATAGCCACCTGGAATCAGATAAATGTCCATCTGTAACAAGATATACATAGACACAAGTCTTCCATAGATCTCATACTTTTAGAGAAAGTGTATCAGCAAGGCAAATCCTCTCTCTAAGAATACTTGGAGGCGAAATCCAGGAACCTGCATGCTATGTTAACATTTGATGGAGCTTATCTTTACCTAATAGTAGCAGTGTCATAATATTACTATTTGATATGGGCATCTAAACTGACGGGATTTTTTTCAAACAATAGGTTATAAGCTCCAGCAGGGAGTAATTAGGTGTCTGAAATATTGAATGAGTTGAACATAAACAGAGATACTGCTGATGTGCACCTACAACTCTGAATGACTGTCCACTAGCCAATTTTTAATACTACAGTCATTTGGTATTTTTATTTTAGTACTAGACTGTACTACAGACAACACTGAACATATTTCACACCAGAGCTTAGGAAAAGTAAAAAAGGAAAAAATAGTCACTTTTCTGACTGCCACTGATTATGCTATTGACAGTATTGGTCTCAGATCACATACAAAAAACATGAACCTTATTCTCATTGGTAGAAAATGCTGAAATGAAATGGAAACTCACTTTGTGTATCTTTTTTAAAAGTAGCAATACTGTTTCAAGTCTTTGCTTAAAAGTTCAGGATTTCCTAGCCCTGAAAAGCCATTGGTTGGAATATCATGCACAAGATGAAAAACTTAAATCAGAAATCACTGTATCTAAGAAAACTA